GTGATTATGTTAAAATAATTAAGAGGTCAAAGAGACACATGCTAGCAATGACCTCTAATACAGAAAGTAGAATGAAGGCTGGAATCCGGCAATGTGATGTCGGGTCAGAAAGGAAGGAGTGTCTCCTTCTGACCAGGTCACCAGGGTAGCCTTAAAAGTAAAGTGCCTTCTGTAAAGGCCAGGTGACCGGGGGCACATAATGGCTTTGTCACCACTAGTGACATCAGCTCAGGCAATTAAGATGAATTTTCTTGGCCTCTTTTTTTTTCCTTGTGTGAAATGGGAGGTAAGGTTCCTGCCTCTGAAGATGTTTGGGGGAAAGTCAGTAACACATGTAAAATACTCGTGAGAGGGCTTCCCGAGCTGAGAAGAGAGTATATTTGATGTTATAAGTTCAACATTTTCAACTTTTATTATGGCTAAAAAACAGGGAGCTATATCTATACTTAATCATGGAATAGCAGACACGTGGAGGAAGAACATAAAAGAGTAGCAGAAGGAGGAATTCAGAAATAGGTATAAAAAAGATAAAGACAATTTAAAATAATTAACTTTTCTTAAAAATACTCCAATATAAAGAGATACAAGTATAGTCTCATGTTAAAAAAAAAACCAGGAAAAAAAATAGTCTAGCCTTGAAATGATCTTCCTGTTTCTTTAAAAATTCCTGAAGTGTCATATAGAATTTGACAAACTTCAGCAAGCAGTTACTGAACACGTACTACAATGTGAGAGTGGTGGTACCAATGTGTATAATCCATAATCCACACCCTTTAAGATTTCAAGACATATGTGATCTGTACACATAGTTAAATACATTAATGTGAATATAATACTTTATGAGAGAGCTCAGAGAAGAGAGTGTTTAATTTTTTCCTGTGGGAAGAGGAACAAGAAATGAGCTTTAAAGGCTTCTCCAGGATTTCGCCTCAAATGTCTACACATGAAGCAGTTCCTTCATTGTAAATGAATGAGCTGAGCTTTATGCAAGACAAGAGGGAGTGGTGAGGGTTTGGAAAATTGGATAGTGTATTCCAGTTAAAGGCATTCAAGTTCAATTTATTTAAAATAAATGAGCACATATAGTAACAAAACCATCTAAGGCCAGTTTGCAACCTTTGCAATACACATGGGAAGTACTACTTCAATTGGATTATGAAACAGGGTTCTATCTCCATCATCAGATGGAGAAGAAGAATAGCTAAGATTCTAGAGTGGATGAATATCAATTGCTGAGAGCCAGAGATGAAAGGGCTTAGAATGTTCAGCAGGTGGCTGAAAGGGTGAACAATTAGACACAACGCGTGAGGTCAGTGCAGGTTATAAAGGGCCATGAACACAACGTGGAGTTCCAACTTTATCTTGAAGGCATCTAGTACCACAGCATTAATTTCTCTGTATCTTTAACAGCATCATTTTAAGAGTTCAATGATTTCTCAGGTCTTCATCAGAGTAGATTTATTATTTAAATGATTCTAACTTATAGTATTAAAATGTTCTCTTTCACTAGGAAAAGTCTGCTTGATGAAAAATATCTAAATTTAAAAAACCCGTTAAGTATGTGGATATTTATATACATCTGGTTATTCATAGGATAGACGGTCCAAGTAATACAGATGATCTAAGTTCATGTTGAATTTTTCTCTCAGAGCTGTAAATATGTATATAGAGCTCTTAAAACTCACTCATTAATTAATACACTAATGATTTAATGTTAGCATACTTCTATATACTATGTACTATCCTAAGTGCTTCATGTGTATCATTTCATTTAATCTTTATAAAATTCTTACTGTTATGAATAGTCTTACTCTTTCTGTGAAGAAACAGAATCTAACAGATATGAAATAACTCTCCAAAAGGCACAGAGCCAATAAGTGAATATGCCAGAGTTTTACCCAGTCAGTCTATTTCTCCAAAGTGTACATACTTAATTAATGTTGAGATTATATGTTTGGCATGCACTGGCTGACAGTTAGAGTTGGTCTTTCCTCCTATACCTGTTGAATCCAACTTTCTTTCTTTTAGAAATGGGGTAGGCCATATCCTTCTCTGTGACCTTCCTAGATCTAGCCTATGCTTATTGCATTAGTCTATCCCTATAATGCTTTATTATTTACTGTTAGAATTTCTTCCATTCTTCCATTTATAATGACTTTTTTGTCCTGGAACATTTCTAACTGGACAAAGCTATTGAAGGAACATGAATTTCCTCTTTTTCTGCTCACCTTCTTATTTTGGTCTACCACCAGACTTCTGAAACCTCCTCCATTCTCACAGGATCTCTTTGGCAAAAGGTTTGAGTTTACTTTAAGTTTGTCACTACTTCCTCAGTAAAGAGAAAAAAATTCAAGTCCATCATGAGAAACATCACAACATAAAATAGTGTTTATATTTTAGACTCTTTTGTGTGATTATTTATGCCATGATCATGCCAACTACAATCAGTATGTCTTTGTGACTTGGCTAGAGTCACTTTCTGCATAGTTCCTTCCTGCGCAGGGATGATTTCTAAACCAGCATTTCGGGGAGGCCACATAAGCAGTTGTTATTTGGAATGACTTGAATTTGCCACCCCGTCAGAAAAATTAGGCTCTTGAGTTTTAACACACTGGTGTCCAAATCAAAGATGCATGATGGTTCAGATGTTGGCAACGTGGAGGTGATCTCTCCTAAACAGAGGCCAAGATTTCCCACCAGACATGTGAGGTTACCTATGGGTGAACACAGATCATTCCCCAGAGCTCAGTTTACGCTGCTTCTTTCCCTCATTATTTTATAGTTAACAAATTTCTGCCATCAAATCTTCTGTTTTCCTCCGTACCAGCTTCTCCAGAGCCTCAGGCACAGCACTTCCCAATGTCAACAGCTATTAGCTCTCCTTATTTCTCCTGAGTCATTTATAGCTCTCAGAGCTGAGTCCAGGGGATTTAACATAACATTGGGGGTACGTGTGTGCGTGCGTGCGTGCGTGCGTGTGTGTATTTTCTCAAAAAAAGGCATTAGCTATCTATTTTATCTTTCTCACTTGCTTGAAAACTTATTTTTGGGCCTCTACAAGTACCTAGCATGAAGCTTTATATTTTGCTTATCATCAACAAAGAATAAACTGCATTTAAAAAATTATCTGTCTCTACCTACCTACCTACTGACCTACCTATCATCTTAGTTTTCTAGGACCTCACTTTAACATACAGAAATGAGAAGCACATTTTGAGAGAAAATATGCTGTATTTCAAAATGCAATGAAATATCATAATGCTATTTTTCAGTAAAGACTTCTAAGTTAGGTTTTCCTAAATTTTGTTCTTATTATTTTATATCTATAAATACATACATGTTTATGTGTATATATATTTTATATACATAAATATTTATATATGTATACATGTATGTGTATATATATCTCATACACACACATCTGCTGTGAACTGTATTTTTGCCATTTGGCATGTAGGGCAGTGTTTCTTCAATGAGCTCAAACTTCCTGTTTCCTTATCCTGTGCCCATCTGAAAACATTCCATGTGGGATTTTCATAATGAGGTTAAGCTCGTGCCAGGCAGGGACACCATGAAAACAGGCACAATGTCTCCTGGAGTCCTGCAAAGATGTGTAACAGAGAATACAGACTGGTCAAACTAGTGCCTGCTGAAATCAACAGGCAGGAGAACGAGGAATATGCTTTCATGATGCAAAAACACTTGCTCAAATTAATAAAAATAATTTCTAGTATTTCAGAATCATGCAAAAATCTGCAACACAGTAGCAGGCCCTCAAAGGTCCCTGTCCTGGTTACAGTGGAGCAAAAATGTGATTAGAAGGCGACACTGACTGTACCTTCTCTGCCTTTGTAGATACCAGTGCTTGCACCAAACCCTGTAGTCTCTCTCATATTCTTCTGTCTCTTGACTCTTCATGGGGGAGCGGTTTGAAATTTGTAAAAGACCATACATACAAGGCAATGTTATTATTTGTTTTTGTTGGGAAAAGCAACTGCGAGAAGAGAGAACTGCCACATTATCTTGCTTAGAATTGGCAGCCCATTGTTAAGCCACGACCACTGCAGCATGGGTCAGTCATGTGAATCTTAGCGCTTTTATTCTGGTCTACCCACTGTCCCCATCTTTTTGTAAAAGTAGAGAGTTATGCTATGATGTCGTCACAGAAGTGGGTTTATGATAGATACTTCCTTTCCTTTTTAATATACTTTGACACTGCAAGTTTATTTTTCTGTGCAAGAAGCCATATTCTCTCTTATTTGGTTTACTCAGTTTACAAAGAACTATTGTGAAGTTACACAAACTATACATTTAGATAGTAATAAATAGAATGTGGCTAGATATCTTTTGTACTCTGTTAGTAATGATACTTGAGAGGAGCTCAGGAGACTGGAAGGAATCAGTTTAATGTTGAAAATGCATGAACATATTTCTCAGTGGTGACATAGAGACTCTTAGTCAGAGCTCTCTATATGTGACTTGATAATTCTAATATGCGGAAGACATGTTTAAGAAGAAATTTTCTCTGCAACTTACATATTTACAATATTATTTAGCTCAGCATTTTCCCTTATAAATAGTAAAAAGGTTTTATCAGCCCCACCCACAAGACCCTGTTGAACAACTGTCACCTGTGCACATGCAAGAATATTCCTCCACTCAGTTGTAATTTGAAATTGAGGCTCAGTTCTTTTCGATTTCATGTTTATATATTTAAGACCATGTGCACGCTTAATTTTTGTGTTTATCTATTTATTTTTGCTCCAGAGATAAAACAGCAGCATAAGGTATATGCATCTATATCAAATCCTTCCTGTTACTGTTGGTATACAAGCCTAATTTAACCAAAAAAGACCACCTGTATTATTTATGAAGTTATTTACTATCCCAGAGTATCAAGAAATTGGAAAGAGCATATCTAATGAGGAATCACATTAGCTTTCTGTTTCCGCACCAAACTTCTGACTGTGAGAAAAACAAATGCTCTCAGTGGTTCTTACCTGCAGTGCACAACCATCGGGCCTGCGTCAGGAGGGTTACAGGTTTTGACTCTCCGTAGGAAAGCTAGAAAGGGGGTTGGGTGTTCTGGAACACCATGATCAGGCCAGGCGGTGAACTGGAATTGTCTCACTTCTCTCTTCTCGCTTGAACCGTTCTGCAAAGTAGAAACACTGGCTGAAATTCTGTTTTCCTAGCTTCAGGTTGTAATGAGGAATGATAACATTGAAGAGGTAACATGACAATGTGCTATCTTAAGCTCTCCCGCCACCACCGATATCCTTTGGGAAGACACACAATCTGGAGATACAAACCTCAAGCTATTTGTAAATGACAAATATTTGCTCAGGAAGATAAAATTCCGGGGGGAGAAACATTACATTTTTTAGGTGTAACTATCATGAGTACTCCTGTTATATTTTACAGAAAGAGCTAGTTCTCCTTCATCTATTCTTCATTTGCCAAAACTTCCATTCAGAGAGAGTTCCATATTTACTAATAAATCGACAAAGAGAAAATGGCTGAGCAATAATGGAAGAATTATTTCATTCTTCACTGCTGCCAGTGGAATCAAGATTTAAGTCAAGCCTCAAGATATCTGATTGCTCAAAAGAAGCTTTCTTCAATAATGGAAAGGGGAAGAAAGAGGTAAAAACATAAAAAGCAAACCTTGTAAAGTGCAAAGGTTCTAACACAATACGTGGCCAGCTCCACAGTATCGAGCAGGGTCACTTGGACCAGACCATGGGTTTCTGTGCCTCTACTGGGCCAATACTGGTCACACTTCACCTACAAGAAACAAGTGATACATTCAGGGCAGATGCTCATCAATTTCTCTATTAGCTTTACTTTGAGATGCTGTTGAAGAAAAACAGCTTTTCTGCATTTCATTTCATGTTGATCTTTTTCTGGCATGCATTCTTGTTATCCCAATATATGTAAATTACTGCTCTGATGCCAATATAAACCACATTTTTCAAACTGGTAGGAATACTAAGCAGTAACAGATTCAATTTTCCTGGAGAAAAATAAATTGCAGATTGTTGCTGAGTAAGATAAGTAGAGAGGTATTTGAAACTTCAGAATACTTGAAAAGAAAACACAAATTTGTTCTGGGATAGACATTAAGAATTGCATCAAGAAGATTACACGTAGGCATTTAAAGTACATGGTAAAATACTTAGCATTCATCCATCAAGGTTTAAAAGGCACAAGCTATTTCATCTTGCGCTATCACAATTTCCACATATGCTTGTTTAAAGGAAAGTAGAAATAATTTGTAAATCTATCAAAGTATAATAAACAACATAGCATTTTTTAACATACAAGATAAATGGTACTGGTATTCAAAACAAATTAAATCTGTAATGTCTAGGAAAAAAAGAGCTGTCTGTTCTTTTAAAAAAGTCTCAGAGGGTCATACACTAGCAGTGCAAAGTTTAAATAATTTAAAATTTGTTCATTTGAGATGAATAATCTACAATTTCTATGTGGAGCTGAACAAAAGCACATGAAAAGTATTCAACCCAATTAGTTTAACATGCAGCAAAGAATAATTCAAGGTCTGCAATAAGCCTCAAATTTACTGAATGTGTCCTTTGGGCATTAAAAAGCATAATGAAAAATGACACACAGAACACTGTACTTTCTAGTAAGGCCATAGATCATAGTATATTTACCCTTTCTATCTCAGATTAAAAGAAAAATAGGAGTAATTCTTAACTGAAACCAACTGGAATGTATTTCTCTAGGTAAAGAAATAGAGTAATATCTAATATTAGGAAGCATACCTTCTACTTAAAAAATAAAGATGTGAAAGTTATAATCATTGGATATAAACAAAACAATGAGGCATTATTATCATAGACACTAGAATTTTTTGGTCCAGTGAACAGTATTAATAGATAATTATTTGCTTTTGTGTTGACTATAAATAGTAGTAGCACTCTGTGAACAATATTGCAATTTTCTGTTTCCTAGATATAGCATCTGCTCCTCAAAGGACTTAAGTCTCCTTCCATGTAGGCACTGGACCTTCTAAAATTTCACAGACAAGAAAAAAGAAGGAAAATACTTAAATGCACAGTTAAACAGTAACACGGAGGTTGAATTCACAAGGACTGACTCCTGTGCCTTTATTTCAATAGTGAGACGACACAAACATTATCTATTTCATAAAAAACGGAAAAAACAGTTGACAGTAAAATGGAAAATATGTCCATTTTCATTTATAAAAATATTTCTCATTAGCACTTATAAAAAATATTTCAATGCTTCCTAGATGCACAAAATAGTCTTCCCTGGGTTATAACTCTATCGTATGTTCTAACTCAGAGAGAAACACCACAAGGAAAGAAAACCCTTTCTAAGCACTAATGTACTGGTATCAAGATTTAGTACTTCTGTCGTCTGACCATCCATTAAAACCCAAGCCATATCTGGACAGACTTTGCCATGGCCTTTACCTGAATGGAGCCAACACTACTTAAGTAGCCATAATTCAGACGAGGGAGAAAAAAAAACCCAAATCCCGTAAAAGTTAAGCCAAAGGCTCTGTTTTCAACCATGAAATAGATGTCAAGTTGATGTCTCGCTGCAAAGGACAAAAGTGACTTTGGAGGCCTCTTATTTTCAACATTTGAGAGGATGCCAGCAATGCGTTAAGTTAAAGAATCAAGAGAGAAGCTCAAACTCATCATTTAATGGTTTCAGCTGGATGGCAACCCTTTCAAATCAAAACCAACAGATCAAATCCCAGAAGGACAAATATCACTATGGTGGGAACAAAAAGAGCAAGTTAATGCAACAAAATGGTCTATGAGGTTAGTTTAATGCACTGAACCAAATTCAATGCAATCATATTTCAAAGCTGGGAATTGGTTATCCTTAGACCTTTTGGCGAGGTAAGACAAAGGAAATAAAGGAAAGAACCATGAGCCAGCCTTTAAGTGACTCTGGAAAAATGGCTCTATTATTCAGTGACTTTCTTTTCATCTAAAAATCCACTCCATACTCAAGATGTAGGAGAAACTAAAATTATACTAATTATTCTCATACTTCTAGTAATAAGTTTAAAAGAGCAACTATTATTGGCTTAGGGAAAAAAACATGCCACAAAACATTACTATAAGAAATAAATGATGTGAACATTTTTAGCTAAAAGAAAAGAAAAAGCTTTTGTACCCAATTGAAATAATGTACTTTAGTCTTACATTTTACAAAAAAAAAAAAACCAAAAAAAAACAAACAAACCCAAAAAGACATTCTAAAATGAACCTCAACTACAAAAAGTGGGAACAAATTTTTAAAGCAAATATATTTAAACATTGCTGTTTTCTCCCAGGAAATATTTCACAAAGGGAGTTTATGAAAAAAACAAATATTCTAACCCGTGTGCATATGCACACATATGGTCTCAGCAGAAGGATTAGAAGGTTTCCCTGAGCTTAGCTGGACAGCTACAGCTACACATCCTTCCTTCATCAGTAAATACCTCAGCACTTATTTTCTTGACCTCATTCTTTGAGTAGCCTGCACAGGTTTTATGTAATTTCTGAGGGCCAAATTTAAGGGCTTAGATTTATTGACAAATTTTTTTTTAAGTCTTTCATTTTCAGCCATTCACTAAACCAAAAATATCTGATTTCAACATTAGAGAGCAAGTTGAAGGTGCAGGGAGAAGAGACATAAGAGAACGATAAAAATGATTTTTTTCCTAATTAGCTAATGCAAATGAACTTGCTCCATTTTTCTCTTTTGAAATGTTTCTTTGACAACAGTGCCTCGTCCCATTTCCCCCTGACCCTGAGAGAAAATCTCAGAAGGTATTTCCAGAGAGGGTTAGTGAGTACTTGTTAGGCTTCACGCTTAGAACTGAGTGTGAGTTGAGAGGTATAGGAGGCTCCCCTTTGAGTTTATAAGAACAAGAAGGCAAGAGCTCCTGAATATGAACACTGACTTTGATTTTTCCTATTTGATTCAGATGTGACCATAATTGGCCTTCAGGACTGGTTCATGGGAAGTCTGGCAGCATCACTGGATGACCAGTAAACTGATTTTCTATTTCCAGGAACCAAATCCACTGGCCTCATCTGTCAAAGGGGAACAACATCTCTGGCCCACCAGTGTTATTGTGAGACTCCAAAATCATGAAACGGAACCCAATGGCCAGACCAAGTGGGCATTCAACAGGCCACTGCTGTTATTAATGATCAGTTAGGTTATGTTTTCGATTTTTTTTTGCGGTTGTTGTTATAAACTACCTATGTCAGTCTAAGAGAAAAGGCACATGGTATTACTCTCAGCAGATATGCACTTAGGAGATTCTAGGTGGAAGGCAAGGTGTCAGCAGGTATGGGGGACACTAAAGTGAAATGAGATGCAGACTCTGTCCTTATCCATCAGCCTTGTTGACCATATAGATGTGTTTACATCTCCTGATTTTTCAAATAGGTAGTTGTGAGAGTCCAAGCAACTCCCTTAATTAACCTGGGCCCTAGTCTGCTGAAAGAGAAGAATGTGTCAGAGTCTCAGGTGGGAAAGGAGACGAGCCGAATCTGCTATCCAGGCTGTGGTTTTGAAGCATCACCTGGTAACATTCTTTGAGGCTTGAATGACTTGAGGCAGTTCAGATTTCTGGCTGAATTTTGGGAAGAAATCTTTTTATCATCTTAGAGTGATCATCCTTATATGGTAAACTTTCCTCTCTTCATAATGATGGAAAGAACAGGTTGACCATGGCTAAATATATATTATGAAATTAATTAATTTTACCTCTTTCATGACAACCCATCAAAAACAAGGTGATGAAGTGATAAAGCGTATTTAAGTGCATTCAAAAGAAAAACTTGTGCTGGGAAATATCTGGTAGGATTTGATCCGGTCAGTCTGCTGACTATGCTTTAGGAAAACGCATTCCTTCTGGTTCCATTTTTTTTTTTCCCACGTGGCTTATCTTGGAAGTACCTGGCACGTCCACAGGCACACAACGACTGGAAGCCAACATCATAAGCAACTATACTGTGGTCTAGGTTGGCTTATTTTTAAATGGCCTAAAAGGATGTGAAAATAAAACCTCCTCATTTCAGTGTAATAAAGACTTATTGAATGTGGCAGTGTGGCAAAGCACCCAGATTCCAGATGTAATAAACCGAGACCTCCAAAGGGTTCCAGCATCACTGATACCAAACGCATTTGCCACATGGTACTTTGAAAAGCCTGCCTAGGACCAGATTATTTTGCCAAAGAAGGACATAGAAGAGACAATGAATGATATGTGGGAAACCCTAATGGCTGCTGAAAGTGACTGGAAATCAGTATCTAGGAAGTTTGGGCACAGGACTCTCCTGTGACAGAAGTATGCTAACATTAGATAACGTGAGTCACAGATGTTACTGGGAGTAAGGAAATTTTAATGCATACTTATCAGTTCCTATTTAATAAGGGTGCACGCAATAAAAGAAAGTTTTAAGTAAATGTTAAGATATATGTTAGTGGACAGAAAAAATTACATGCTGAACTGTTTATTTCTATAGGTTATAATATCTCTTTTGGAAGTTTAGGACCAGCTTTAATATTTTATTTTTCACAGTAAGGACAGAGATCATCTCGATGATTCTGTTCTCTTTTAACAATAAGACTATTTTCTGCACTAAACTGATATTTAACCATATCTATTCCCAAACAGCAACACTGTCTGTTTTATGTATTTCCCCTTTTCATTCGCTCTTCGCTAAACAAAATGTAGTGGAAAATCAAGGGCAATGGAATATCTGACATGAGAGTGATAT